AAGCTTCCTGCAATCTCTACAGTGGACTCTTCTTTCCAGGAGAAAGGAACATAAGAGGAACATAAGGGACTGTTATAACAATGAGAAAATTATAGAAACTGAAAGAAGATATCCAGAAGAATGACGTAATTTAATGAATGAGAACCACAAATTTTCTGAAGATTTTTTTGCTAATATACGTACTTACAACTAACTGGCTTCTTACTTTTGCTTCATTGGGTGCCAATATAGAATGCCTTATTCGGTTTTTAGGATTCAGTGCCATTATCATCGAAAGCCATTTTGGCAGATCGGCGTCCGCCCTGTAAAACCAGTTATATTTCCATCAACATTTATAGGAAGCCCTCGCTATATGCAGCAAACCTATCAGGACTCTATGGTCATTGTACGTCCCTTTGGTTTGAGTTTCACATGCAACTCTAAATGGTCAGAAATAACAGAAAACCTCTTCTCAGAACAGAAGGCTCACGATCGCCCGGACATTGTGTCAAGAGTATTTGACTTGAAGAAAACGGCTTTGATGCAAGATTTGACAAAGAATCACATCTTAGGTGCGACCATTGCAGATATACACGTCATCGAATTTCAGAAGAGAGGATTGCCTCATATGCACCTTTTGTTGTTTTTAGCGGAAGAAGACAAAATAAGAGATGCAGAGTGCATCGACTCGACTCGACATCCGGAGCTACACAACATTGTGAAGTCATCGATGATTCACGGACCCTGCGGTGAACTGAATAGAAACTCTCCCTGCATGAGTGATGGTGTATGTTCGAAAGGATTTCCGAAACCGTTTCAGGCAGAAACTAAAGAGAACGTGAATGGCTACCCACTCTACAGAAGAAGGGACGATGGAAACTTTATCGTGATCAAGGATCATGCCATCGATAACAGATGGGTCGTTCCTTACAATCCGTATTTATCGAAAAAAGTACAACGCCCACATAAACGTTGAAGTATGCAGCTCCATAAAATCGGTGAAGTATTTGTTCAAATACGTGTACAAGGGTCATGATGCAGCTAAAGTTGTTCTGGAAGAATCTGGAGATAGAGAACTTTAATGTGGGACGAGATCAAATGCTTCTTAAATGCAAGATACGTGTCTGCCCCTGAAGCAGCGTGGAGGTGGAGGCTGTTTGAAAAAAGAATGCATTCAAGTAAGTCCAGTCACACTCATATCATACGACTACCGGTTCATTTGGAAAACCTGCAGCCCGTCTATTTTGCCGAATCCGAAGAAAGGAATGCTTTCCAGAGAGCTGCCGAGAAAAATACCATGCTCACCGGATGGTTTGAACTGAACAGGACAGTTCCCGAAGCGAATGGTTACCTGTATGCCGAAATTCCTAAACATTTCACCTGGAGGAATCATGCCTGGCAGACACGAGTTAGACTTGGAGATTACATCATTTCAAGAATGTATTCTGTTAGCCCGAAAGATGTTGAGCGTTTCCATCTGAGGTTGCTGCTGTGTCACGTTAAAGGAGCAAGACTTATGGGAAGCTGCATCAAACTTGGCTGCTGCAGAACTAGCTTTTCAAATGCCATCTCAGCTAAGACATCTCTTCTTTTTACTTCATCTGCTGTGTTTTTGCAACCCTACAGAACCCATCGCTTTGTGGAATGAATTTAAAGAGTCCCTTTCTGAAGATTTTGCAAGATCTCACTCCTTAGAAGATAGTTTTAGTCTTGCACTGAGTTTAAGTACAAGTCTTGCTGCAGAAGTATAGAGGCCTCAGCCAACATTTAATATGAGTTACGAACATGCACAGCGTTTCGCTGTTGCTCTTGATATCTCCCCATGAAAAAATTTAATTGAAAAATGAACAAGTGTCGACTTGAGTTTTTGAGTTATGCGGAAGACATACATACATACGCCATGAAAAAATAATTTCTTTTGAATCCATTTTTAAATCAATTTTATAATTCGTTTGGAGAAAAAGAGTCCTTTATTCTGTCCTTGCGTACAGATGTCACGCAAAAACATCTTTAAATTGCATTCGATAGCGGTCAAAACGGATATTTCGTTGAAATATGATACCCGGAAAGTTAATTTCGTGATTACAATACTTCCTTTACTTTGTACAGGGAAATAAAAAGGAATTTAACTGTTACCATAAAAGCCCGAAGTCTGGTAAATCCTAGGTTTTACCGGTAAAACCTCGCTTTTACCAAGCCTTTGCGGTGAAAACCAGGAGTTACCAACGCCTTCCGGTAAAAGCCTGAAACGAAGGATTACTTATGATAGGATTTTCCATTCGCAGATATATTGTATACAGTGTGTCCCAAAAAAGTTAAAACATTTTAACATTTTAATTGGTAATATAAATTGTAAAAGTTATCAAAATAAGGTATGATTTAAGATCATGTCGATGAAGCTGTTTTACAATTATTTTTAAAAGAGTTACAAAAAATATAAATAAAAAAAAAGCAATATTTATGTCATCTCATAAATAAGATCTCATGTGAAAACTGAATTAATGCACAATTCTCTCGATAACTATTGAAGGGATTTCAATAATTTTTAAAAGTAATTTTGGGTATAGTTAAAAAAAATTAACTTGATAGCTCAGGAAAAAATTAATAAAAATTATGAAATTTAAAAATAAGAAAAATGTGTAGTTTTTCTTTCTACATCTAATACTTCTTACTACCTACCAAATACCTTTACTACCGTTACAAACAAGGTTACAACAGACTGTTACGACGGCAAGCATTTTGAATTACAAAGTAAAGTAGATCAGCTGATTTGCACAAACACATCTTCTTAGTACGCTACTTTGAACAGTTGCATTTTTCTAAGTCCTTTTGCTCTCAAAGAAAGTTTTTTACTACTTCATGTACACCTATTTCTCCTGTACCAACTTCTTCGATGTTTAAAAAATTTTCTTTGCAAAAGATAACCTGGTTTTCTTGCGCCTTTATTTGGTGCCTTTATTTTCCGTATTAACCATGCATTCATTATTAATATTTATAATTGTTTTTAAGCCCTCTTCGGTGGCCGTGCTACTAATCAAATTACATGGAAAAACTGAGTTAGCAAGTGACAGCTTCATAGGACAACCAAACATAGCTTTGTAAGGTGAACATTTGGATTCCCTCGTGATATGCTTTGTTTTTAATTGCTTGAACAAATTTTAGTCCTTCCGACCACTTTTATGTCTTATTTGTTTCCATCCATATTGCCAACATGTTCTTAACATCTTGGTTCGCTCGTTCGACATAAACCTTGCGATCGATTGACTGCGTCTCACAATTTTTATAGCACTCCACATTTCACATAAACTGGTTATAAATTGGTTGCAAAATTCCCTCTCATTGTCGGAAAGGAGAATGTTCGAGGTTCCTAAAGCTCTGGAAATATCACGAAGGTGGCATGTTACTTCATTAGCTCTTTCACTGTGTAGACTTCGGAGTAGGACGAATTTTGTAAGATTATCTTTATAGACTAAAATGAATTTCATATCATGATCAGGATTGGATAGACTTGGCATCAAGAATTCGTTTCGCTATGCACAACTAACTGGTTTGATTACAATCCTCTTTTTCACAGATTTATTTATTTATTTATTTATTTTAATTTATTTTTATTTTTTTATTTTATTTTTTTATTTATTTATTTTTGGTTTGTTTGTTTTTTTGACATGGTTCACATAGTCCTAAATAAGTAACGATAGATTCTACTATCACATTCTTGTATTTACGATTCAGATTATTCATCATACGGGTTCTTCCACCATGACCAACTGCGATATGAGCGTTGTGTATGACGTTGAAGATTTCATCAATTGGTAACATAATACAGGATTTCTGATTTTTCTACAGATAGTGGTACTATACGTTTGTCCTCTCCTCCAATATTTAGAATACCATAGCGTTTCAACCTGCTGTAATGAACTGATTGTTTTTGCTTCATAAATTTTGCTTTTTTCACTTCAATTATTGAAGAAAGGTATTTATCATTTGTTAAATAAAAGCTACCGTGCTTCTTCATTTATTAAAAGAGTGTATTTCTCATTTGTTAAATAAAAGCTGCTATCGTGCCTTCAGACAAATTGTCGTAGAACCTTTTTTCGCATAACATAACTCATTTCCTTTCAGCACAATAAAAAACGCAAAATATGTTGAAATGGAAACAAGATTTCAGATCGTAGCCGCTTACACTTGTTTGGATTCGCTCAAAGCTAGATTGCAAATGGCGCAAATAAGAAGGTGCAGGAACAGAAAAAGTGTCGCAACGGAATTTGCGTGATCAATTTTATTCACAGTCGATTTAAATCCCTCGTTTCGGGCTTTTACCGGAATGCGTTGGTAATTCCTAGGTTTCACCGCAAAAGCTTGGTAAAAGTCTGAAATGGTTTAAAGCATACGTCAGACTTTTACCAAGCCACTTATGTAAAAACTAGGTTTTACCGGTGAAACTTAGGTTTACCAGACTTCGGGCTTTCACAGTAATATAACTACAGAAAAAAAAAAAAAAAAAAAAGACTGGTACAGAACAACCACTGTGTTCCATCTTCAAATTTTTCAATTAAAAACAAAAGCAAAACAAAATGAAAAAATCCATTAAAGTTTTAGAAAAAATAATAAAGTAAAAAATCTGAAAATAATGTTTTTAAAAATTCTGAAAGTTTATAAAAAAAATTCACGCTTTAAGTTGCGTCTATCATCAAGGGGCTTTTGTAATCACTGAAACTTCTGTTGTGTTGTTTTTGTTGTTTTTAATATATTAAGCATTATTTTTTCCGCACTTACGCCATACACAATTCAAGAACAAAATCAAAAAAAAAAAAAAAAATTACAAGAAGCCATGCTTTAGAATTCTAGCAGCAGTAGGCGTTTAACACTTTCGGTCTTTTTCAGTTTATCGTATCAATGTTCAGCACGTTCTTCGCGCTTACGCCAGATAAAATTCAATTCGATAGCAAATATTTAGAATTTCTGGTAGACAGTCCCTCCGTAAACGTGTTTTTATGCGATTTTGTTGCTCGAAAATTCGTTACATTTTTACAAAATATGAAACTGATAATAAAATAAATTGGAAATTCAAAATTCGGACTTCCAGATACACAATGCGGATGTGGACTAATTATGCAAAATTTGATCGGAGTACGGTCTTTTTTCGCATACGAGAATCATACATACTGCATGCAGATTCTTCAGTCTAATTTCTTAAAAATAGTAATAAGGGCGATATAATTGGGGGGGCATAGGGGCAACACAAGAAACGTGATAAAGTCTTTTATAACGATTTAACGCAAAATCCCATTCAGAATAGCCATTTGACTACAATAGTTATATAGTGAATCAATACCAACCACCCAGATAAACACATATACACCAGCAAAAAAATATAAACATAGTTGGAAAAGTCCTGAAAGAAAGAAATAAGCCGATAGCGTTAAAACAAGATGATTTTGTGCACTGAAAAATGACATTGATTTTAAATTACTATTTTCATTTCCCTCTTTTTCGGGGGCATAATTAAGCGTCGTTATTATATTATTATCATATTAAAGAAAATAGTTCAATGAGATCTAGTTTACTGCATAATTTCTATTACATTTAAAGTCAGAATCTTTGGAGTAGAACGATTTATAGCACGATAAAAAGAAGCAATGTTTTTGCTTTAGTATTATTAAAATAATTAAGTATATTTTTATGAAATTATACTAACTGGATGGATTAAGACCATCATATTTTCCTCTTTTGTATAATATCTATTTTAAACGGCTAAATATAAAAACGTAAAGCGTAATTCAGTAATAAATTAAGTAAATTTTCGAACTTTTCCGTATCTCTTACTTTTATTACTTTCACTCCCAAGACTAAATGGTTACGATTTGCTCTTTATCGGCAATGAATAAAACAGCTGTTTAAACAAGATCCTAGGACCAGAAAGTTACAAAGTCAACATTCTAACGCTTTATGATAGGAAGGAAACGGAATATTTTAAATCCCATGCGCGTTTCTTTAAATGCCATTAAAAGAGATAATAGAATTTAATCGCTTTCAGAACTACTTTATATAGCAGACGATATTGTTCACGAAGAATAGGATCTGTCATCAAATGTAGAAGTGACGATGAATTTGACAGCAGCCATGTTAAGCTTGCTTTTCGGAGTGCTATGCCTCCAGCGTATTTTGGCAAGAAGCATTGACGGGTATGGCAACAATCAGATTTTCCAAGCGTCTGAATCAGTTGCAATCGGTGGGAGTATCGAACAAGCTTTTAAGGAATCCTTGTACTCTCAAATGATAAATAGTGGTTCTTTCGGCATTATGTTCGGTGGCAGTGTGACGGACGTCGACATCATCAACGTGGGACGAAATATTGGAACAGGTATTGTTTCTGAACTAAACTTACAAGACTATGATCTAATAATTAATTTTATGATCGATACATTGCGTTCCGTTTACCCAGTGGGAAAAGTAGATGATTATGCTTCGGTAATCGTGCAAGCAGTTCTTGAGATTCTATCGACGTATAACTTGTTGAACGAATACAATTATTTCGATTTATCACTTAGAATCGGAAATATTATCGATAGCACCCTAAATTTGTATGTGTTTGTTGATGGTTTTGGTAACGCTTACGGTGGAAATGTAGATGTTGGAGCAGGACAG